CTGCTCAGTTTTTCATAATCTCTTATTAAATTGTTGCTGGATTTGCAAAGGGATCATCAGTCATCTGAGTTTCCTTTTTCCATTTTTTGCATGTCTTTTGCCTTGTGCCAAGGAATATTTGTTGAATAAGAAGCTCGGTAAGGCTCAAGCACTGTTCCACTGTTGTAAGATACTAAATGATCCCTAACCTTTGCTCCAGACAGAGCTGTACATGGTGCTGGGATTCATCTGTGTTGTTGCAGTGGATGAACGGTAGAGAACTGGCATATTGGAGCTGGGCAGCTCTGGAGGGAGTAGGGCGACCTGAAGAAACACTTTCCCCCTGCCATGGGAATTCAGCAATGGGGGAAGCCAGTTTTCAACCCATAGTTTTAAAACTCACAGCAAATTCCCTACGACATCATCCAAGTTAGGATTATACCTCCAGGATCTGAGGCCAATCCTACAAGCCTCTCAAACCATTCCCCACCTCTAAACTGAAGGCTGACCCTGCTGTTCCTGGGAAAACCAGCCCCAAGAAGGATGTTGCTCACATCTGCTTTTTTTGTCAAATGCATCCCCTGACACCTCTCAGGCTCTTCAGAGAATCCCTCATCCCTTCCCCAGCACAGGTGATGATGGCAACCCTGTTGCTGGAGCAAAAAGAGCTCACAGTTTTCAGTGTCAACCTGCTGCAGGAGACGAGTTGGGGGGAAAAAATGTAAAAAAAAAAAAAAGGTTTGGGCTTCTGTTTAGGGAGCAAATGGTTAAGTTTTTCCTTTTGAAGATGGCACATTTCAAACTGCTAGGCTGCTGCTCCCTGCCAAACCCTCTGGCTACTTTGCCTCAGGTTCCCTGCAGTCTGAGCCAGTGGGGCTACAAGGAAGTATCCTTGAAACTGGACACTTAATTAGGTCTGAATGTTTTTTCTGATGTGACACTTTGAGCTGTTTATATGTGAGGAAAAAAAAACTAGAAGGAAGTAATAATTTCATTTAGATAGACAATTTTATTACAAAAATTTTAAGTGCATACATATTTATAGGAGAAATTACAACAATATAAAAGTGTTTATTTTCAAAATATTCTATGAAAAGAGTAATTTCAAAAGCATAATATAACTTCTCCATTAAAAGCTGCTTTACAGGAACACAAATACAAACTTCTTTTCACATTATTTGGGAAGATATTTCTATTTACTTAATAAAAATATAAAGTACAGTATTTACCACATTCTGACAACACTGAGTTCTTAAGGAGTGGAAGATGGGAGGTTCATGCAGCCCTTTCATCATGATACATGTTTTCTTCCCTGCGGCCACCAGAGTTTCATGTTTGCAGATAAGGGTTGTCTTGGTAAGATATTGGTAAAGAAAAAAAATTCAGATTTTAGGTGATGAGTTCTCAAAAACCCCTGGTTACTATAAATCACACCACTGAAAACAAGTTGTCAGAGAAAAGAAGGACCCTCTAAATGGTAACAAAGGGAAAATAGCAACAAAAAGTTCTATAGGAACTGCATTTTCAATGAAATGTATGTATTTCACTTCAAATATAGCCTTCATTGCAAAACAGTCACCTTTGCTCAAACGCCTTAGTTAAAAACACAACAGAAAGTCATCCTTGTAGAATTCAGATAAGATATTCGTACATACAACCATAAAGCTAGTATAAATAAAAAATTGGCAAAGCAATAAATACCACATATTCTTAAAAAAAAAAAATAAATCCAACCTCAGGATTCGACAGCTGCACTTTGAAAACACCACACATGATGATTTCACATTTGTGGAGCTGCTTTTCCAGCACCAGTTAAGTCTTATCTCTTTTCCTTCCTTCTCTTCACATGCGGTTCCTATACCACTCCCATCTCCCCATGTTTCCTTTCCCTGATTTGGTCTTTGGTCAACAACTAAAGGCAGAAAGGAAAATCAAGTGCTTTCCCTGAGTGGGTTTCAGCTAGTGCTGCTTCTCAGCCTGCTAAGACCATGGTGCACACAGGAGGAAGAGTGTGTGATGCCCAGGGAGCTTGGGGCAGCCACGTGATTGATCTCCCTAGTGTGAAGGGCACAGCTGCTCTTCCCGATGCATCATGCAAATCGTGTCAGGCAAAGAGCAAAGCTTCCCACTCAATGTTGCATTTTGGTCTAATGAAAGAGAAAGCTTTTATCAGGTTCTCACTTAAGTCCTCGGTTACTCCTGCCAGGTCTGTACCATCCATGCTGTGCTCAACCTTGCCCCAGAGAGGAAGGGACATGGTGCTGGCCCCCAAGAGCAATCCAATGCCCTGAGTGGTCTCAGCTACATAAGAGTGAATCATCACCAGTGCAGAGCCCAGGTCCCAGTGTGAGTCTCAGGAAATGCCAGAGGCAGACGGCCCACAGGGCACCCAGACAGCCACCACCTGGCTGTAAATGTTCCCTAGCCTTGCGGGGAGTCCCTTTCTTTCCTGTTGCTATGTGCATTTCTGCCAAGAGCAAATGCCCTTCCTTTAGCATAGTCCACCCCTGCAACATGCACTAGTTTGCCCCCAGAAGAGAAGGTTGACAGCTGACCCCATTTCCTGCATTACCTCCACTACCTAGCTATACTGTCCAGAGCTGGGTCCCTGAGGTTTGCCAAGGGTGCTCCAGCACTGCCTATCCAATGCTTCTGTCAAAGTAATCTCTTTTCCCAGGCTGTAATGTGGGGTTGGCATGTGCACAGAGACCTTTCCCTGCTGGTGCCATGCCCAGATGCACACCCTGTTAACAAGGACTTCAGCAGAGTGCTGGCAAGGCTGTATAGTCACATCTACAGACCCCATCTTTTCACTGGAAAGCAAACATTTCCCCTAGAAACAAAATCTTCATGGCCCCTATAATCATTACCAAGGTATGCTGTTGAATCAAAATCAGAGGATTACTCTCTGTTTACTCCAATGGGAACTGATCAGACCTCAAGCTGTCCTCCGATGGGAAGCATGTGTGAGGAATACACTTTCCTGGGAATCCTGGAAGAAGGACAAGCTCCGTGTCTGTGTCAGAACCAAAATTCTTCCACACTTTCTGCAAAGTCATTCTTGGCTTTGACACTCACATGTCTGCTGCTGGCAAACCACTAGCAGTTGCAGGTGTATGTGTGTGGACAGGAGATGGATCTAGGATATAAAGTACAGCCCAGGGAACGTACAAGAAACTCTAGTTTTGTCATAAAAGTTCTTTCTGTCTTTGCCCTTACAACAGAGGACCTGATCCTGCTCGTGTCAAGTACAGTGGTACCAGACCTTTCAAAACAGAGACACAACATACTTAAAGCACCAGGTTGGTAATGATAACAATAGAACAAATGTCAAAATCACACACACATACATTTTAGGCACAGCAGCTGTTTTCTACTTTAAAGTAAATGAAGTGATGTGGTCCCAGCTGAAGCACTCTCTGTAATAGCAGTGTTTCACAAAGGAAAATACTTACAAGAGTTTTACCTGAATCTGCATTGAAATAAGGTAGTCCCTGGCTAGCCAAAGTGTCCCTTTGGCACTAAAGATGCCTGTCACAAAAAGGAGTGCTTAGTGAAACACCCCTCTCAGTGTTCTTGACACAGGCTGCAGAGAAGAGGGAAGATTCCTTTTGAAGTAACCCACTCAAAAAAAAATACAATCTTACAACACTGTTTGTTCACAATACACACACAGATACATATAAACACAAGCATTCTGCTGCACAAACATGCTTCCCTTGCCCCGGATCCCAGTGCATATTGTAACATGATTACTGCAATACTGTAGGTGTCTTTCCATACACTATGTAGCAAAGATATTGTGTATACAGGCACGACTCGGGAGAAAGAAACTTCTGGCTGAGAGGGGATTGGTACAAGAAGCAGAAGTCCTCAGGTGTACTTTGTAACGGAACTTCCAGAGGCTATCCTGTTCACCAGCAAACACGGCCATGATGGTTGATGAACAGTAAGTGTTGGCCTTCATTTTCTCACTTGAGAAACACCACTCCTTCCACACTCTAGGCAAACCCTCTCTTGCCCCGGGCGTCTCTTTTCTCCAAGGGTATGGCCAGACATCCTCTTCTAGGTATCTCCTGAGCAATCAAAGATGTTAGTGCCCTCAGGTACATGTGACTGTTCAGTAGCCAAGGCCACAGCATCATTGGTGAAGGGTCATGCAAATGCATCTCCGCCTACTTCAGTGCAAAGCTATCTGGGTGAGCCGAAGCCACCTCCTGTGGATGGGTGGGAAGAGACACCTGGTGCATGGCAGCATATCTGACTCCTTCATCAACTTGCAACATGATTGTGTGGTTAGACCTTTAATAACCCATTCCTTTTTGTGCTAAAATTTGTCATCGGAAAGACAGGAACATAGGAAATGCCAGGTGACATCAGATCAGTGTTGTGGCTCATAACACGCCCTACTACAAAACAAGTACTAGCACCTTACAATACCAGATGTTCATTGACCCAGCTGCTTATAGCTGTCACCAAAGTCTCTGATCTTCAGAGAAGGGCTTTAGCCCCATAGCTCTGAGTTTAATTCCTCACCCAAAATACCTATAAATGCCACCCATGGTAATGCTGTCCACTTTCATCAATCATAGAATCATCGAAGTTTGGGTTGGAAGGGACCTCAAAGATCACCTAGTTCCAACCGCCCTGCCATGGGCGAGGACACCTCCCACTAGACCAGGTTGTTCAAGGCTCCATCCAACCTAGTCTTGAACACTTCCAGGGATGGAGGATCCACAACTTCCTTAGGCAACCTGTTCAATGTCCAATGCTTTTTTTAGCCTTCCTATGTTCCTGGCCTCAATGACTTCTGGAGGCAAGGAATTCCTCCACTACTTACACAACATCATTGCACTGTACAGTTCATGTCCTTCTAGGTTTAGAAGTCCAGGAGATTTGCATGAACCACAAGAAAGTTAAATAAAGCAGGACTTCTACATAGGAAAGGAAATAAAAATATTATATAATAACATAGGGTTACTTTAAATTCATATCTGCCCTCAGTGCTAGGTAATAAACCAACCTGTATAAAAACATATTTTTCTCAAATAGTTACATCTTACTATATAAAAATAGCACTGCGAAAGCAAGCCAATTTGTGCAGAAAAACAAAACAAACCACAACATAAACCCAAACAAACAAACAAAAAAACCTTTGGAAATGCATGAAGCGTTGCTTTTGTGCTGCATGGTAACAGTGAAATGTATTCATTCCCTAATACTGGTTATCTGCTCTCTGGGTCCTACAGTAAGAAATCCTGTAGACGGCTTACAATGCTTGCCTCTTACATCTTGAACCTCCTGTTGATGAAGAACAGAGTGAAACACTATTAAGGTTTATTTCAGTTGCAAAAGCTTTGACATCAGGCCTAGTCAAAAAGTAAATCTTGCAGTCCCTCCAACCAGTATTTGCCAAACATTTTTGGGAAAGTTCTCCACAAGGAGCTACTGGGACCCAGCAGGGCAAACAAAGTAATGGGAGTTATTTTGGGCAGGTTGTGCTCATCACAGTTAGTAAGGTGTTCAGAGCTAACATAGGAGGAAGGCAGTCTAGGAAGCTTATTCTGGGCTTGAAAGCCAGAGCAGAGAATTGTCGGTGGGCAAAGAGACTTGGAAAAAAATCACCAGGGAAAGGAGGGATTAATCACTTGTGAGCAGCTCCAGTAATGGGGCAAGTGGCACTGGGAATGCCTCCTCTACCTGCCCCTACCCCACAGCTCTGCTGGAGATCAGGGACTGCAGCTCCACAGGGTGCTAGGTCTCTGTGAGTATGGAGGAACACAGAGGACAGACCATGTTCTGCTCTTGTTGGTTTCAGCCCCCACCATAGGGTGGCTGGAGAGCAGAGGCCCCTGAGTGTGCTGCCCAGACAGGAGCCATCCCATGGCCTCCTTGCTCTGGGACCTCACCTGCTGTGAGCAGCTGGATAGCACATCACAGCTCGTGGTGACCAGTTGCCCAGTGAAGGTGGGGTGACAGGGAGAGCGAGCAGCCACGTGCTGCACAGTAAATGTGTGAAGCATTAAGTGCAGAAGCAGGGAGGTCAGGGTAGGAGGCAGACAAACCAAGTCTCCCATGCTCGGTGTGAGCATGGTACCCAGGGGAACTGGTAGGTTAGGCATCACAACAAAATGCAAGTGTATTGCAGGGTTCACTCAGAACAAGGAGCTAGTCTGTGCTGGTGGCCTCCGGGTTTTGTCTGAATTGACCCCTACCCCTGCTCCAGGCTGATCAGCCTTTTGCAATCTAGATGAGGTCACTAAGGCTGAGTTAAAAGTGTCAGAGGGTAAACACCAGGTATTCAAAAACCCTGATGTTCCAGCATGTCTTGTCTAGCCTACAGGATCAGAACAAACATCCCTTTCAATGCCTGCTGGATAACTAAGACTGTGTGACCACAGCCAGAGATAGTTGCGGCTACTGTCTGTGAAGGTAGCCTTGAAAACTCGTCCAGGCGTAAAGAGGATGACTAAGCCTTGAGCAAAATTTTCCTTTTTGAAGATACTTTTTCCTGTATGCCACATCAGTAACCCTACTTCTTTTGGTGCAGAAAGGCAGGACACAGCACTCTGGTGGGAAAAAACCAACCAGGACATCCAGAGCATTGGCATATATAACACCGTTCTCTGGGACTTGCCTAGCATCTCCCATAGGAAAGGTGTCAGCCAGTCACCAATGCACCAAATCATGTTGTGACCACCCAGTGCTGCATTTGTCATTAAAAAACACCAGTGACAAATTCACAGCTGTTAAATATAGTTTAACTCTGTCAGTTTCGTATTGGAGGAATATGGTAAGCTAAAAGAAAGAGGACCTCCAAACCTTTACCCTGTTTTTGACTTTGGCTTTGCTACAGGGTTAATTTGGCCTCTTTGGGTGTCCATCTTCCTATATGTAAAATGGGAAAATTTTCCCAACTCTGTTGTGGCTGAACTTTTCCCCTGTTTTAAGAGTTTTATCTATATAATGCTCCTTTGCATGGAGGGTACAGATGTTATCCTCAACAAATATGGGGGAAAATGGAGGTCTAGATAGG